GTTCAGGCTGTAATGTCTGGAATGTATTCTGCCTCTCGTGGACTCGAGTTACTAGACTCAAGCCAGGATCATACCATGTAGTTAACCTAGGACAAATAATTCATGGATGAAGAGACTACTCCAACACAACATCTAAGGACTCCTCTTATTGGGTGCTCTTTCCATTTCATTTCATTCGTTAAAACCTCTTTTTCTTATTGTTTTTCTTTCTTTTAAGTTTATTTTTGCATTCACACTTGCTGGGGTTCCAAGCTGCAATTTTTTTTTTTTTTGCGGTCGGTCCTTATTGGTTGAGCAAAAGCAATTTTTGTACATTTGTCGCTCTCCAAAATACTTCTTTTAACTCATTTTCCTTTATTCGTGCGGAAGGTCAATGAAATTAAGGGGGGTTGGAAGCTCTATCTGTTCCCTTAAAAACACATCCTCGAGTAGGCGATCCTTTCAACGGGTGGGATTTTTACTTGTACTAGAGACGGCTTAGCTTCACCTCGTAGGCTTACCCCACTAAGAATCACTAAAATCTCTTCCAAAACCCGATGTTGTGCAATGAACGGTGCCACACACGGTGGACTTACCCCATGCTTCGAATTGTCTACATGGAGGACCAACTGCTTCTAATTCAGCACAACTGAGCACCCTTTATGATACATGAGTCCAAAACACAAGGAGAGTCATCGATACCACATGAATCAAAGGTCCTAAAGCCACTAGTTCTCGCAATCAACCGACACAGCAAAGAAAAAAATAAGAAAGATCTTATACTTCAGCTTTCTCCATAGTGCTACAACTACCTCACTAAGTTGCATAGTACTATAAAGACTGTCAATTCAAAGCATACTGAGCGGACAATTGCAAAGAACATGCACTTGGAGCCCTCAAATTTCTAATTTGGATAGTGGACAGGCTCCAAGCACACACATATATAATGGAACACCCCCACACTTAAGCACGACATTATCCTCAAGGGAGGAAAGATAAGGAGGGTAGAACGAAGTTACCAGATCAAGTGTGAATGATGGTGGACGAGGCAGGCGGTGCATTCCAGGAGGAGAGAGAGCATTCAGAACACAAACACCACACTAAATCTCACAAAGGTTGAGTTATTGACTCTAAAATAATAGAACAAAACTGACTCAACTGAAGAGAAATTGGGAAAGAAATGCAAATCGACTGGTTGGGTTGCCTCCCAACAAGCGCTTCTTTCACGTCTTGAGCCGGACGGTGGCTCCTAAGTTTCGGTCCACCCCAAAACCTCCTTGTAGTTGAGGTTCTCATTGATGAGGTGGAGTCTCAAGTCACGAATAGGTGGTATGACAGGTGATAAAAATAGCTCGGGCACTCGAGGAAGATGCAGTCTCCACATGCGAGACTACTCCCTCGTTTCTTCACTTGTCTCATTTCTTCAAACTAGATATGATAGCATTGATTGGTCACTATCACATCCACCAAGAGGGACCAATGATGATGTGGCCTTGCTTAGGCAAAGAGACACTACAAATGGGTCATTGCCAATCAACTCCTCGAAGTTTGGTGGAGATTTCACATGTAACTCATGGCCGGTGCAAGCCTCTTCCGCCTCAACTTCGTCCTCGGCATGGACGCCAATTGCATCTTCAACCCCTACCCCCCTCATTCCTTAAAATTTGATTCTTCCCTTTGGAAAAGATCAAGAATCTCCTCATCCTGACTTTCTTCCTCATCTTCCTCAACTTCTTCCCTCACCCTTTCTCTATCCTCTTCTTCCACCACGGGTTGGAGAGCAAGTCGCCAAGCAATTTCTTCGATGAGATCATCTTGCATCTCCTTGCTCGGGCCAGCATGCAAGAGCAGAAATGGGGAAAGGTGTGATCGGCTACAATAGGACATTCCTGATCATGATTATCACGAGGGCTCTCTGTGAAAACTTATGTATGCTCCATAATGTCCGTGTAGCCTCCTTCATCCTCCTCCTCTTCTTCTATGGAATCAGAAAGGGATCTTGAGCAAGCTGTGCACAAACTTGCTCAATCCCCTCTGTTTGCTTCGCTGAGTGCTGAACAGTCTCCTTCATTTCACGGATAAAGGAATGGTCACGAGGACCAATGGATTGGATTAGGAGGTCCATCTTGGCAAGGATCTCTCAGTGTCTCGAACAATCTGCTCCACGAAAGTCTCAATTGTTTGTTCGGATCTACCAGTGGAGTGTAGCATGGCTATGCAGAGTGGCCCGTGAAAGCCTTCATGGTTAACTCCAACTCTGATGGCCCTTCTGGTTGTGGGAGGAATTTTTCTTGATAAGAAGATTATTCTTGAGGTTCCCAAGGGTCTGGTTGTTCTTCGTAGTAGGGGGTTACTACTGAAATCTGAATCCATAGCTTCTCCTCTTTGATGCTCCAGGAAGTCTCGGGGTAATACCGCTTGGGTGGTGATGGATACCTCCAACGGTTGGAGAAGCCATGAGGATCCATGATTCAGATCTGCACAAAAAAAACACCCAAGTGATAAGTAAGGGTGGAAAGAAATGAAAAATAAAGAAAAGTTAAATTAACAAGCTTCTGCCTTTCCTAATAATCTAGAAAGCTCCCAAGCAACGGAATCAAAAACTTGACTCGCTAATACACAATTGCTAACAATGGCCAAGTGTAACCAATGAAAGGGACTGCAATATAGTGACACAAGTAATAAATATCAAATCCACGGGTCTCTAGAGTTATTATTACTCAGCTTCAGTTCATTATCTAGCAAACCAGATTAATGATTGATTTACTAAACTACTCTACTAACTAAACTAAGGCTAAACTACTAATTACAGGTTGGGAACTCACTTAGGCATGATTCCACCTACTTTGCAGTTAGGCCAAATTGTAATTCACCCAATTCAATTCAATTCATTTGACATTTACACTGCGAAAAATTCTTGACAAGTCTGGAATATCGACTAAAGTAATCCAGACCCTCTCAGTTCGAATACCTGGCGGGCGACTAACCTCCACCGACGTAAACTAACCAAGGCAATAACACACCAAACTTCCACTACTTGTTCAATTCTAGTATAGAGCAGTGAATTGATTTATCGACTAAAGCAATCGATCCACTACTTTCAATTAAGGTTGCTCTATTAACCTATGCAGAGACTATCGTTCTAGAAAGTAGGAATCACAAAAGTTTGATCAGGACTCAAGTAATTTTGAACCAATGCCTCAACTGAATATAAAATGTCAATCAATCATGAATTCAAGTTCATACAACTCTTCATAGCATACACAACCTAAGTGAAGGGAAGTTACTCCATAGAGAAGAGAGAGAATGCATAAATCTAATCTAGATCTTCAATCTCCATCTCCAACCTTGATTCCTGAGCTTCAATGGTGAAGAAATCCTCCAAAATAGCTCAAAGAATGATCGCAAGGTGCTCTCTCTCTCTCTAGGGTCGTCCCTTGGATGTTTGGGATCCAAAACCCAGCTCTACCTCTACGCGAGTCAGTTGTTGCCAAGAAGTCTTTGGACATGTCACCACGTCATCCTACATCAACATGGATGGTATCATTCATATAGTACTTTGGATGATATCCATGATATGAGATGATCACCATCCAATTAGTATTTTGGATGGTGTCCCTAATGTGGGATGGTACCATCCAATTGGTACTTTGGATGGTGTCCATGATATGGGATGGTACCATCCCATTAGTCCTTTGGATGGTGTACCTAATGTGTTATGGTATCATCCAATTGGTACTTTGGATGGTGTCCACAATATGGGATGATATCATCCAATTAGGGTTGGATGGTATACATGATGCGGGATGGTCACCATTCATTAAGAGGTTGGATGGTATCCACTAATATCGGATGAAACCATCCACTTAGAGGTTGGATGATTCCATAATGTGGGATGATCACCATCCACTAAGAGGTTGGATGGTGTCCACTATATAGGATGGTACCAACCACTTAAAGGTTGGAGATTGGATGATATCCATAATGTAGGATGTTACCATCCACTTTGAGGTTGAATGGGTGCCCTGAGACTGAACACATGATGATCAAATACCAAATGATCACTCAATTAGTATTTCAAGGGGGAAAATATTTTGACGTAAACACCAATCAATATAAAATATAACATGAACTAGCATAAACCAGTCGTACTTGTATCACCAGATAAACCATATCATTGGCCAAAGTATAAGCCTGCCAGACAACCTTGCTCATATGATACTTGCAATAGGCCTGAGTATGGGCCTAACATCTGACTGATCCGACTTGAGCCCAGCCCATAATCACTTGTTACAAGCACACTACTACTAGGGATGGCAATGGGTAGGGTCGGGTGCGGGTTTACCCTATACCAACTCCTAACCCGCCGGGTAGAGTTTTCTAAAATACCCGACCAAATAACCACCGGGTATGAAAATGATATAACCATACCCTACCCACCGGGTAACCACGGGTATTCGGGTAACCATGGGTACGAATCCTAAACTATGAACTTATACACATATATGCACATATATACTGTTGTCCATTAAAAATTCTCAATACTTGTAAGTTGTAACTATTCTAGCTTCAACAATCCACACAAATAAAAACAACAAACACATAATAATTGTTCTTGCTTCTACAATCCACACAAACATAATAATCATCTACATATTCATCATCAATAATGGTAGCTAAACTCAATTTCTCAAGCTAAAATAAATTTCTCAAGGGAAATTGACCCTTTGGTTAGCGGGGCGGGTATAACGGGGCGGGTATTATCAATTACCATACCCGTACCCTACCCTTTATTTTGAAACCGGGTATTATCCGTACCCGCCCCTTAACCCGTCAAAGCGGGTAATTACCCTCGTTGACCGGTTACGGTCGGGTAGGGTACCCATGGTTACGGGTTGGATTGACATCCCTAACTACTACTGACACTAGTACATTTCTTTGGTTTTTTGCCCACAAAATGGGGCCCACAAAATGATTTGATACATTTCTTTGGTTTTTTGCCCACTCATTCGCTTTCTCCATCGTTTGCCACCGTCCCTCCCCGCACGTCCGTCGCGAGGGAAGAACTAAGAAGCTCTCCTTTCTTCTTCTTCTTCTTCTTCTCCAATCTCCCCCTTCTCCCTGTCCAATCCTTCCACTTCCTTCGATTCCTCTCTCTTTCTCTCTATCTTTCTTGCAACCTCCGCCGCTTGTTTCTCTTTCATCTCGAACATCCGCGAGCGAGCCGGCGACGGTCATAGCGTTGTTCGCCGAAGAGAATGGGCGTGGATTACTACAACATACTCAAGGTCAACCGGAACGCGAGCGATGACGACCTCAAGAAGGCCTACAAGCGACTCGCCATGATTTGGCACCCGGACAAGAACCCCACCACCAAGAGAGCCGAGGCGGAGGCCAAGTTCAAGCAGATTTCCGAGGCCTACGACGTCCTCAGCGACCCTCAGAAGCGCCAGATCTACGATTTATACGGCGAGGAAGCTCTGAAATCAGGGCTTTTCCCCCAGCCTGCCCCGGCCTCTTCTTCCGCTCCTTCCACCTCCGCCCCAGCCAATCGCCATTATTATCAGCGCCAGCACCCCAATCCTGCCTTCAGGTTTAAGCCCAGGGACGCCGCCGATATTTACGAGGAGCTGTTCGGTCACGAGGCCGGCGGTTCCGCAGCGAATGGGGCTGGAGGTGGAGCGGCGGGAGGTGGGAGAGGGTTTTTTAGGACTAATACTCATTATCATGGAAATGGAGGAGAGATGAGGAAAGCGGCCCCCATTGAGAATTTGTTGGGTTGTAGCCTGGAAGAGCTTTACAAAGGTGTAAAGAAGAAGATGAAGATTTCCAGAAATGTCTTCGATGCTGCTTCTGGGTACGTATTTCATCGGTTCTCTAGTTTCTTGAGTGATCGCATCTATGCTCTTTGGGGGATTTTGCATTGTTTGTGTTGTATATAAATAAAGATTAGTTGTTGGCTTAGATTGAATGGGATGTGCTGGGATTAGAGAAATGATCGTGGAGTGAATTACTCTATTGAGAGCATTTACTGTTAAGAAGATGTTTCCCCTAAATAAACCATTCTTGGAGGAGTTCTTTAGTCAGGTAAAAGCACTTGTGACCAGATGGGCCTATATATATGGCTGGATAGGCTTAGGTTGGGAGTATATTCATTCAAATTTACAGAATTTGAGTGGTATTGTTGGTGGGATGTCAAGATTGTTCAACGTGTTCTGAGTGTTGCTCTTGGACTCACGTTTGAATCTGGAACTGTAATATTACTACTACTTGGAAGGTTCAATACATCAGAACAGCTACAAAGATCAATTGAATTGGGACTAGTTGCCTGATCTACCCTTCGTTTCTGCTTACTTGATTGCAGGCCTCCCTGTGATTAGCTGAATTCTAACTTTTTTTTGTTTCAAGTATTTTCAATAGGAACTTTGGATAGAGTATGTTGCTGTACTTAGTCCATCTATGCCTGTCTGAAAACAAGTCTTATGGGGACCTAGAAGCTGATGGCAGCATGAGTTCTCTCTCGAATCTGAAAACTCTTTATCAGCATTTTGAATAGGAACTTTGGATAGAGTATGTTGCTGCACTTAGTGCATCTATGCCTGTCTGAAAACAAGTCTTATGGGGACCTAGAAGCTGATGGCAGCATGAGTTCTCTCTCGAATCTGAAAACTCCTTTATCAGCATTTTCAATAGGAACTTTGGATAGAGTATGTTGCTGTACTTAGTGCATCTTTGCCTCTCTGAAAACAAGTCTTATGGGGACCTAGAAGCTGATGGCAGCATGAGTTCTCTCTCGAATCTGAAAACTCCTTTATCAGCATTTCATCACCTTGTTTGTTGTGCTGTATGCAATGTGGTTTCTCTTAGTTCTGTAGCTTATAGACTAGTCGGTGAATGAGGAAGCTAAATGTAGAATACAGGACAGGTCTAGTGTGGCAATGTCTTACTACAGGCAATTTCTTACTATAACTGTGGTGAAAAGTTCATCACTGCAAATGAAATTGTGGCTTGTCAGTGCCGGGGTGCCTCTCAGATTTCGTGTGTGCCTATCTGATTCACTCATGGTTGATGTTTATAGTTTCTCTGCCGTTGATTATTTTGTTGAACATGTAATATGCCAACAGTTTTTAGCATGATTTTGTTAGTCACTTGTGCTTGGCTTCTAGAGGCTAAAAGCTGCAGCAGCATCTGCTGTGTAGTGGAAAGTTTTAGTTTTGTTTAGCAAATGCGGTCTGCATTAGTTTCATAAGGTCTTTTCTGAAATTAAGTACTGGGTCCCCTCTGTTTCAAACGTTACTTCATTTCTGGTTCTTACTTTTTCCCAGTTTGACTTCATCGTGAATCGGTTCTCCTTGCAGAAAGGTTCGCCCTGTTGAAGAGATACTGACAATCGAGATAAAACCCGGTTGGAAGAAAGGTACAAAAATCACATTCCCTGAGAAAGGCAACCAAGAGCCTGGCATTGTCCCTGCTGACGTGATTTTTGTGGTGGATGAGAAACCACATCCGATATTTAAAAGAGATGGCAACGATCTGGTGATCAACCATGAGATTACCCTTCTTGAGGCCCTCACGGGTGGAACCTTGGACCTAGTTACACTGGATGGCAGAAACCTTATGATCTCGCTCACCGATATAGTCAAACCTGGTGCTGAAGTGGTCGTCCCAAATGAAGGAATGCCTATCTCGAAGGAAGCAGGCAAGAGAGGGAATTTGAGGATCAAGATGGATGTGAATTACCCATCAAGGCTTACTGCAGAACAAAAATCTGAGCTGAGAAGAGTTCTGGGGGGAGTTCCGTAATACTTCAATTGGGAGAAGGTCAGATAACAGCTAAGAATTTGGGATGTACATATAGTCGAGGTATGTCAGGTTAGGATATAAAGTCTAGGGAATGGTTGAGTGGGATGTTTGGGGAAAATGTTGTCCTGGTAATGGCTAACTGAAGTTAACTGGTAGGATGAGCAAATGTCAGGCTGACATTTGCTGGTTGGTGTCACTAGCATATGATTTTGGATAGTGGATACAACGCTCCACCGGGTTTACTTCTACCACAGCCACCGGTGATGGTTTGTGAATGGATTGTTTTGAGTTTTGAAGATTTAGAATCTAATTGATCACTGTTGGCGTTGATGTTCTTATACGGGCAAGTGTTCGATTGACTGACGCTTGGATCATGTGGACTGGAGTACATTTCCCCTGATCATGGTTGGTTTTTAATTTCATGCCCTTTTGGAGCTGTGAGATTGCACTTGCTTACCTTATGCTCAGCACCTGTGTTGGCTTGTAAAGATGGCATACGTTGGTTAATTGAATCATCCTTGGTTGCCTTTCAAAGTTGGCAGAGCTGTTGCGTTTAACATGCTCTTGAGGGAAGATCGTTGATATAGTGTAAGAAAGATGAGTGACGGGAGGGAGAATGTAATCGAGGAGACTATGCACTATGCAGGGACAGATCCTTCATCTATAATTGAACGTTTAATCCGTTTACATTGCACAGCGAGGAAGGTGTCTGATGTCTAACATTCAGCCGCACTGGTTTCGAGGAATCATTGGGGGTGGGGAATGGCACTACGAGCCGCCACTTCCTTCTTTGCCGATCCAGTGGTCTCTGTCCCCACTAGAGACATGGTCTCCTCTTTCACCGCCGCCGCAAAATGCCTTCTTCTTCGGGGTCGTCGTTGAGATTCTTTCAGCATCCTTCTTTCCCTCTTCTTCGTAGAGATGACAATTTTGCCCATACTCATGGGTATTTTACTATCCAACCCAATTGGGTTTAGGCTTGGCAACCCTGACCGACCCAGCGGGTATCCACCCGAAACCCGCCCGAATTATACCTTAAAAATCCGTCCGTTGTGGGCTTTTGGCGGATTCGGATTTACCCGAAACCCGTGGGTCGCGGGCGATGGGTGGGGACGGTATTAGTGGTATCCGCCCCGCCCCCGCCCCGAATCATAAAACGACGTCGCTTAGACATCGTATATAAACCAAAAAACGAGCCCTGCAAACCCTAATCTCTCATTTTCCACTCTCCGCCGTCCCAAACGACTCCTCCCATTCCTCTAATCCTCTCATCTTCCTCTTCGAGAACCTCCCGAAACCCTAGCTTCTTTCTCTCCATCGAATCTCCAAACATCTAATCCGCTCAAAAATCTCTCTGTTCCCCACGATTTCCTCCCAATCCAGCTTCTTTATACAATTATGATTGCCTACTGGCAATCATTATCTCTCAATTTGGCCAATTGGATGCTAGTTTTGCCGGCGATTTCGTCGGGAAACAGCATGCAGAGCCCTAAATTGCCCGCTGCAATCTTCGATTTGCAGCTATTGGGGGAAATCGACGTGATATCGCACATCGAGCGAGATAAGTTCCTTCTCCCCCTTTTCCTTTCGTATTCTGCTGCACTTTCTTGCCTTCTTCCTTCTTCTCGTATATAAATTAACCCCTCGATTAATTTCAGGTCACTGGTCAGCCTTCTTCCTTAAACCCATTACCTGCACTCTGCTCAGAGCACAGTCGAGGTAAGCACAAACTTAACCCATTATTTTTCCAGATTCATGAGCTGTGTCTATCATTCGATGCATGCATGCTAATTTTCTTTTGTTTTTTTGGCTTTGTTTGGGAGTTGTTTAGCTTCGCATTCGAGGCATCAGCTGTGTCTATCATTCGAGGCATCAGCTCAGTGCTCACCATCTGCAGTCTGGTGAACAGAGTCTCCCTCAGTCCCTCTCCAGATTACAGGTAACTTCCAATTGAAGACTTTCCTTTTTTTATTGGTCCAATTCAACTCTCGATTTAGTCGATTGTAATTTGTATTGTGTGTTGTGTGATTTGTCTGGGTAGTTTATAGTTTTGGTTGATTGATTGAATGCAATTATTTAATTGTTTATGTAGATGGATGGTGCTACTGAAAATTGTGCTTTGAATGCGAATGATCCTACTGTGCCTTCTAATCAAAACGGTAATGGTAATGGTAATGGTAATGGTAATGGCAATGTTAATGGTAATGGTTCTGGGAATGATGCTAATGGTTCTGGGAATGAAAATGTTGAAATAATTCTTGCTGAAGATCGTAAATTGACTTATGATGTCTGGCCACATTTTGTGAGGGTCAAGTTTAATGGGGAGATTAAAGCCAAGTGTAAATACTGTCGAAAACGTTTAGGTGGTGATACTAGTAATGGAACCTCCCATTTGAGGAACCATTACAAAACTTGCACCCAAAGAAAGATACATGATGGTAGGCAGAGAGTTCTTACTCCTGATTATAAACCAACTGGAAAACCCCTCCTATCTGCTACTCAATTCAATTCTGATGTGTCTAGGAAGGAATTGTGCTCTATGATTATGGTGCATGAGTATCCCCTGAACATTGTTGAACATGTGGGGTTTAAACGTTTCTGTTGTTCTTTGCAACCCCAGTTCACTGTCCCTTGTAGAAATACAGTGAAGAGGGACATATTTGCTTTATATGGGGCTGAGATGGCAAAGCTTCAGAAGGTTTTAGATGGTAATATTGGTAGAGTTGCAGTCACAACTGATATGTGGACTGCAACTAACCAAAAGATGGGGTATATGGCGGTTACTGGTCATTTTATTGACAATTCTTGGAAACTTAAAAACATGATGTTGAGTTTCATCTATGTCCCTGCCCCTCATACTAGTAAGAGGTTGGGAGATAGGTTGTTCAAGTGTTTGCTTGGTTGGAATCTTGATAAAAAGTTGTCCTCGATTACCTTGGATAACTGTACCACCAATGATGCCATGATTACTCATATGAAAACTAAACTTGCTATTGATGATCTGTTGTTGGATGGTGTGCTGGTTCAAATGAGATGTTCTGCTCATGTTTTGAATCTCATTGTGAAAGAAGGGTTGGAAGTCATCAAAGATGGCATTGAATTGGTTAGAGATAGTGTTGTGTACTGGAAGTCCACTCCTAAGAGGGTACAAACCTTCTTTGAAACTGCTAAGCAGCTTAAAGTGCCTTGTGAGAAGCAACTTGTGCTTGATTGTCCAACTAGGTGGAACTCCACCTATGATATGCTATCTACAGCCATTGTGTATAGAGATGTTTTCTCTCGTTTGAGGCAGTGGGATAGTCAATACACCACTGTCCCTACTAGTATGCACTGGGAGTTTGCTGCTATGGTCATTGATAAGCTGGAAATTTTCAGTGAGATCACAAAGCTGTTTTCTGGCAGCAAGTATCCCACTGCTAATTTGTTTTTGCCCCAAGGTTTGTGATCTGAGACTGGAATTGTTGGAATGGTGTGCTGATACCAATTCTCTTATCTCGGCTATGGCTGAGAGTATGTGGGAGAAATTTTCTAAGTATTAGGATGATATACACTTGGTTCTCGCTGTGTCAGTGGTTCTTGATCATAGATACAAGTTGCATGTGATTGAGTATTATGCTGCTAAGTTTGGCAGTACTAATACTGACTTGGTGGCTGATAAGATTAAGCAATGTATTTGTGGTTTGGTGCTTGATTACCAAACCAAGTCTGAGAGGAACAATTCTGGTTCTTCAACTGCTTATGATAGTTCTTCTACTCCTGCAAATGATGATCTTGATTTTGAACTGTTTGTGAGTCGGAGGAAAAAAAGCAAAGCAACTCTGGTCCATACTGAACTGGATCACTATCTTCTTGAGGAACTGATTCCTAAAAGGTCTCCTGACTTTGATATACTTATGTGGTGGAAACTGAATGGCCTTAAGTAACCCACTTTGCAAGCAATTGCAAGGGATTTCTTGGCCATACCAATTACATCAGTGGCTTCTGAATCTGCTTTTAGCTCTGGTGGGAGGTTAATAGACCCTCATCGGAGTAGATTGCACTATGATACAATAGAGGCAATGATGTGTACCAGAAGTTGGATTATGGAGGAAATGCAACAAGGTAATCTGCAATTACTTGTCTTTTTCATTAAAATGTTAACTTGATTGAATATTAATTGTCTTTTTCATTGTTTTCTTCAATCTGCAGAATCATCGAAGGCTGCTGTAGAGGCAATGGAAGGGGTGTTCTCTGCTCTAGCAATTTCAGATTCCAGTACTGAAGATCAAGACGAAGCTGATAATTAGTTCAATTTAGATTGGTACTTAGTTTGATAGTTTCAATCTCTAACTGTAATTTTTTATTCTTACAGTTCAGGGGGGACTTGTGATGAGGAAGCATCTAATATCCCTAGACGACTGATTTGTTCAATGCAATGAAAGGTTCAAGGTATTGAGCTAGACTTGAGCCTTTTAACTTGTTCAATTTAAAAGTGACTTTCACTTATCTAACTGTGTTTGCTACTCTGTTTCTTGCAGTGATTGCTTTTCATTTTTCAAGGATGAATGATGCTGTTGAGTGTTGAGTTGGTTTCCAGCAGCATAGTGTTGCTTACTTTTTGGAAGAAAAGATCAAAGGAACTCGTGTGTGCTATTAGTATAGGTTTTAGTTCGATTTATGGATGATGTTATTGGGGCTGTCTGCCTTTGTTTTTTATCTCTTCCTTTTGAGTTTTGAACTTGAACACTAGTGTAGTGAAGAACATGTTATATGGGTTTTGGGTGGTGGGTTTTGGTTGCAGCAGCTTGTTTGGTTGCTGCAACCTATCACTTTTGTTTCATTGTTTGAACAATGAAGATCTGGGTGTTGGGTGGTGGGAGGGTTACAGCCCCAGATCTTCTCTTTTGTGTTTTGAATTTATGTGCCTTGAACATCAAGGTACTTTGAAGTTTGAATTTCAGGAATTTTTTATTAGGTTTTTCCTTTTTTTGTATTTTTCTCAGGATCCGTGGTGATCCGTGGTTTACCCGAATCCGTCTGGGGACGGAGACGGAAACCAAACGCGCCCCGACAAAGGGACGGGGACGGGGACGGGGAAATTCGTCAGCCTTGACGGATGGGTAACGGGAACTAGCTACCCGTCCCCGATCCGCCCCGTTGCCAACCCTAATTGGGTTGGGTATGAAATCCAAATATATGGATATGAGTAAAGTTTGATGGGTTTGTACCCATACCCATTTACTTTGGGTTGGGTTTATAACAAATGGATTTGGGTTTGTACCCATGCTCAAATACAAATTACAGTTTGGTACCTAAACTTAATAGATATGCATATTTAGTACCTAAATTTAATTTTTTTGCATATAAGTCCTCAAAACATTGATGGAAAATTACGTTTTGGTACCTAAATTTTTCTGGTCTTACATTTTGGTACCTAAAATTTTCAAGTTTTACAAATAAGTCCAATTTTTGTATGTGTAGTTAAAACACCCTCAAGTAAATGGATATCCATATCCAACCCATACCCATTTAGATAATATCCATATCTAACCCAAACCCATATACAAACCCCAAACCCATACACACATCACCCAAACCCTACCCATAATAAATAGGTCTACTTGGGTTTGGGC